ATATATATATATATATATATATATATATATATATATATATGCATGGAACGTAATTCGCCGATCACGAACTTCTCTAACTAGATGTTGGAGCAGTTTATCGTCGGATCCATCACAACGAGACTGCACCTTGACGTGATGTTATGGCTTACGTGCTTCCCTGACCCTGCGAGATGCACAGGATAGGTATTCCCAGCCGAAGATCTAATCATAACTGAAAGGTCAATGGATAGAGGCCAGATAAATCTGTCTCACAAGGCCAGCTTCTTGAGCATTTTCTGGCTTCCTGTGACTACCCACTATCGCCCCTGGAGAGGTCACTCCAATAAATAGACGCGGTGAGGAGCAATTTATCTACCAAAGAGCCCCTCAAGATGAACGTGATAGCGGGGTACCCGGGTCACCTTCTCGATAATGAAAGAAGCTTTCGCAATTAATGAAACAGCTACCGCCCGCCCAAATTGGGCAGCCCCCAGCTGTTAAGGTGCAGTCTCGTCCCCGTTCTGCTTGTCTCATTGGGTGAATGAAGCTAACGGCCGATCCCGAACAGCGGACCGTCAGTCAACGCACCAGCCTACAATACACTTAATCGAAATTCAAAGACCTTGCTTGACGGGTCCTGGAATTTCCCACACGTGTGCTTCGGTCGCCCTCACATGTTTGATCTGTACACCACTGCCTTGTAGGTCAGACTTTTGAGTTGAAGACTCCGGGTAAGTTTCCCCAAGAAGAATCCACAAGTTCCCGCTGCCTTGCGGGTCAATCTTGTGGGTGAAAGACTGTCGTTAGGGTTCCCAAAGAAAACCCCTTCGTCGGTGTGGGCTACGGCGAAGTATGTCCTGCCCTAAAGTTTTATGTACCCATTTGGAGAACCTCTCATCTGTGTAGTTCTTCCTCTAATCATTCCATATACCTCCTATTTTCGTCATCATCCTCATCATCAATATCATCGGCATCGTCGTACAGTGAGATATAGGGAAGTGAACTTCGCTGATTGCTGCAAACTGTCAATGTGCACAAAGTAACCGAAGAAGTACCAAATTACAAATTCGCCGCACGCCTAAGTTTCAGATGGGAAATTAGTTGTGTATATAGTAAATGAAGCGTGAACTGAAAAGCTAGGAAGCACTGGACAGCTGTTTCGACGTGATTGGGCCTCATCAGCAGTGCAAATCCATCGACCCAACTGGGGATCGGTATATATCATGTACATATATGTCGTTCATATGCTGCCTATGATGACATTTTCTATAAAAGACACTCATTACGTTTGTTGCGGTTAGTAGCATTTAACCCACCTACAAAACATCGAATCACAGTATTGATTCTTCAGTGAACTGGCTCTGAAAGAGCTGTCTATCTAAAAATTACCCGATGTTTCAAACAAGATTATTGTGACGAAAATGCTTCCTGGGTACAAGTATGTGGATGAACTGGCAAAAGATCACCAGATACGCATGCCCGATGATCGGCGATGACCGCGAAACCGGTCAAGAGCCAAGGTCAGACCAAGTTCTGGTAAAGGGGTACGAAAACTCTAATAAGGGGACTTAGTCATGTAAGTCACGATGGACTTCCGAGGGACCTAGTTATGATTCAAATCGATGGTTAAGCACAATTAGTGTCCTAAACAATCGCGCTCGTATATTTAGTTTAATTGCATTCTGTATCTTTGCTTTGATCCCGCTATCAGCTTTCTATTTTCTCCCAAGTAGACGGGAACTAAACCACAGTTTGCAGGGTAATGGTTGTGCCAACTGGAACTGAGACGTCGGGCTATGGAGGTTCCATCATACCTGATGGTAGAGGCCTAACGAGGTCTCGTCTCCTAGTTGATTTGTGAGCACCAGCTTAATTTCTTTCATTTCTACTCTTATTGAATACACAGCGATACAATTTTCAGGTGGGTGTAAGCGGCCAATCAAAGAGCTACCATAAAAAACAATGGGGAAACTTAGGCGTTGGTGGTGGAATTCGAACACGTCCTCCGGGGTGATAATTTGGTGACGTTAGCAAAGAGCCACCACCGCCTACTAAAGAAAATAAGTGTTCCACTTCCGTTGTTTCGCTTTATAGCGGTGGCGGTCAGAGGTATGTGTTGATAAACTAAATTGTTACGCACCGCATCTACAGAGACTGCTGTTGGTGATACATCTTTAAATTACAATGCCAAAAACGGGTTATGTTCACCCTCCGTTTCCTTCCAATTGGATCAGTTGTATTTCTCGTTTGGTGATCTTGTCCACCAATTGCGACACCCTTTCTGAAAAGTAACTGCCTCTGTTTACCAGTTCAGTTTCAGTTCTTACAACCATTAACCATGCACTTTCGTGCCCC